TAAAAACATCTGTTTGTGTCAGCTATAGGGTTAGTCATCCAGGGCCTAGGTTAACATGAGAAAGAGTCCCACATTCTATGTGAAAACAAAAAACATACCATATCTGACTTGAAAAGAACCCTGAAATCAAGTAAGGCTGCTGAATTCTGCTAGCTGAAGGGACTGGAAAAGATCATTACCATTGTCAATCCTCAGCCCTCTTGGGTGAAGTGACTAACTTGATTGTGTGGGTCGGACTGAAGATCAGGTTTAATTTCAGGTCTCAATTCTGAAACATTTATGCTTAATACTAGCTGCTTATAATGTATTTCAGCTTTTATCACAGCTGTATTTAGAGAAGCTGAAGTATGCTGTACATACTGCTTGTTCATTCACCAGTTTTCGTAAGAAAATGTTACATTTGGTAGTATTCTGGTGGGGTTTGATGGAATATATTTAGGACCACCTTGTTAGTGGAGTGTGTGTGCATCAAACACAATCAGCACTACTATTTATGATGTCTTAAATATACTTTTTTAGTCACAGAAACTGTCTAAAAAAGACAGATACCCAAATGTGACTATTCTATGCAGCTCCAGTTATCTGTGGTGATAAGACAGGGAGAATGGAAGATAGATACTCCAATCATCTAGTTGTCAGGTTTACAGTAAACCCAACAAAAGTCTTCAGCAAAGTGTCCTGTGGTGATTTGGAATGATTACAGAAAACTAAGAGTTGAGGCAGTGAAGACATGGAATGACATGATCTATGCCCAGCCATAATACTATTACAAAAATAGAGGGAGTCATTGCCTGAAAATAGCCTGGGTTTGGTAAAGACCGTATTTGTAATGAAAAGTTGCACTGTTAATTTCTGGGATACATTTCCTCACACATGAAGAATCTATACATATATTTCAGAACCTGTCCACATGCTAATAATTAAGAGGCATGAATTGTGTGTAGTATAAGGAAAGCCATTCACAATTAATTTTCTCAATTCTCACTATTAGATTGTGAACTAAAACTGACAAAAAATAAACTCAGAAGTCATAGCACTTCTTTTTTATCTGTCACCTTGAAAGAGTGAAATGCTGTTGTTCATTTTTGTTACTATGCCATGTAACTACAGTTTATTGCATTTCAATATGCATTGGAAAGTATTTGCATGTATTAAGTAAAATAAGACAAAAATAAATCTTTTTGTGGTTTGGCAATTTCCACATATGAAGAACTGCCCTCTTTCTAAGAAGACATTTACAATTGGAGTACAGAAGCCTCATATTATAGCTTTGTTATAAATTACTGCTAACTGAAATGCTAAATCATGGAGATCTTAAACAAAAGACCTAGTACTGTTTAAACGTGTAGTCCCAAAGACTGTGGAGAAGAGAGCATAATAGTGATTTGCATATACATGTTGCAAAACCAAACTAAGTTTAATAGCATATCACACAACAAAGTAGTTGGTATTTTAGCAATGTGAGAGTTTTGGATTTGGAACATTGATAGATTTTTCAGGATCAAAAGGGCATTTCATAAAAAGTTTAATTTTATGGTAGGTTACATTTTCGGCCTGTCAACTTTGACACAGTCCCCTTACAGCAACAATTCCTGTTGTGTGTTGACACTAAAAAATTCTTATATAGAAATTAATCTGTTCTGTATTCTGTAGCACATGCTAAAATATCATTTTCTGTCCTGTGTCACTTTATTTCATTTACTAGAAAGCACGTATCCATTTTCCACTAATACAAGTCTTGCTATTTTTTGAAATGAGCTTCATGTACATTTGATAATAAGCTTGCTGTGCTATCATGTTCTAATAGCATATGCTCAGGGGAGTGTACACACCCAAATTACAGTATTATTAAATACCTTTCAAAGACTCAGTTCATGCCAGTATAAAGTTGTGTATTTTTAATGCTTATAACAACAAATTCCTGTTTGCAAAACTACATCTGAATTATTTTATTATAGCATTCCCATGTATGGTGTCTTTGAAAGACCTAGAGATTCAAGATGTGAATGGGGTTGTACCATTTAAAATCAACACTGATTAAACTGCAGTATCTGGGAAATTGCCTTTTTTTTTTATTTAACAGTGGAATGAACAACTCCATCTCATTATTGCCTCAATATTTACCGTGCTACACAGAAGAAATGAGCACTCAGTGTCAATAATGTGAATTATAAGAGCCTTAGTCCATCTTTTTAAAATTGCCTTTTTTGCCAATGAGATGGTAGTAATCCTCTCTGGCTTACACATGTGTGTCAGTTACAGTTCAAAGCCTTCCTTCAAATATCTAAAACTAAGGTTAATTATAGTAATAATTAAAAAATAAAAAAATGCTAATTACCTTTTTAAAAATATTTTTGTGCATAATTTGCAGGAGTGTGACTGATGCAGAAAAGCTCACTGTTTACATTTAAAATATAGAGTATGACCTTTTGGTTACAGTAAATACAGTACTGCAAGTCTGGTAAAGTCATCACATATACTAAAGGTATTGAGACCATTTACTTCACATTCCTCCCTATTAGCTTCCACAATTAGCATGATCCACAGCTGAAAAAATAATTCTAGTTGTCAGTGATAAATGGGGTGAAATCGTCAATCACTGAAGTCGACAGTATTATTTTAAAAAGATATTGCAAACAAATGTTTACCCAAAGATAGCACGTTGCTGGGATTTTGTTCCTTGGGGTTCTCTCATTCACATGGCAAGCTGACTTTAGTGCTCACTTGCAGACTAAAGAGTGCTTTTTTCGTCCCTCTATTTTTCCTGCAGTATGAAGAGGACCAAACACTCAAGCACCAGAACCAGCAACATTCCTGGTAACCCCCTGAGACCCGAGACAGAAATTCAGCTTTTTGTTTGTTTTCTCTTGATATGATGTGCAGACCTGAGGTTTCAGTTCAGGCCTGTCTCTATTGAGAGGTGCCAGTAATACAGGAGTTTACTATTATGGGCTGTATAACTATCTTGCCTATTCTTAGCACTTGCTTTTGATCTCCGAATAATTTTAATATCAAGGTCAAACAATATGTTGTATTTTCATATGTAGATGTCTTGGTGACCAAGACAGTAAAGAAAATGCATGCAGGGTTGTATGAGGAGAAATCTCCCACAACACTGCTTTGGGATGGTTAAGTCTTCTGGTTGCTTGTGAGAGATTCAGCAGGCAATTTTGTCTTCAGGTTTGGGTCAACTCATATGGAAGAATAACTGTTTCTTCTTTTAAGCTTGTCATTTCTTAGTACCTGGATACTGGTGATTAGCATGTTCTCAAGCACTTCATTTGTGAAAACCACTTTACATCTAACCCGATTAAGTCCTGAAGGAGGTGGTCACTACTAATGTATGTTTCCAGTTTCTGAATTGATCTTTGTAATTCCTGCCTGCATGTAAGGTTTTGAAAGGGTTTATCTTTTGGTAAAGCAGGGGCTATTACAGGAGGACTGTAAAACTCTGAGGTTTTATGATTAAAATTACACATTACAGTGCAAATATTAACTAGAAAATGTAACTGTTAGCCAATGGGTTTGAGTATAGCTGAAAGCCAAGATCAAGCATATCCTGGTCCAGCTGACTGATGCTGAAAATATATTCTCATATTCTAATCTTGGAATTAAACCAGAAAAAGTTGCCAAGCATAGACATTGTCCAGTTCAGCAAGAGGGGCACAGAAGGTTAGCTTAGTGTAATTGGAGATACAAGCCACCATTCCAAATGGCACCAAAACCTCTGTCTCTCCGATGAGAAGCAGGGATAGCCATCTGCCTGAACCTATGACCTGTAGGGTATAAGATATGTAGTATGTCCAGCAGAGAGCTGAGAGGAGGTGCCAGTCTGAGAGGCACTGATAGCAACTCTGCCTCATCAGGTCATGCCAACCCACATCTTCCTCTGGAGAGGGGCTCAAATGCCCAGCAGCTGCTCAGCTCAACGGCAACATGCCCCAGCCGTGGGAGCCCCACCTAGCTTGTCGCTAACTGCATGGAGCTCAGGAGCCACAAGCCAGCCATGCCTGGCTTACTGAGATAAGCACTTTTCAAGATGATGAAAGAAATACTGAAATGGGAAAATCGGTAATGGTGGCGTGCCTCCACACCTGTCATGCTGTGTTACAATTTCAGTCTTTGATTGTTGGTCCCATAAAGGTGTCTTTTTTTCATGTTATTAAAGCAATTACAGTTATTATACTAAATTTGTCCTTTCTGAAGGGAGCAAGAACAAATGAGGGAGGATTTGCATACAAATTGAGCCTGGATGTGGGGGGAAATCACAGCAGGCCTGCTCAGCAGACAGATGAGGCAGTAAGGAAACATTATAAAGGAGCATGGGCCGGACCCACCCTCCTTTGCGGCCCTTTGGTGGTGACCCTTTGAGGAATGTCTCCCAACTGTCTGGCAGATTCATTTGAATGAGGGACGGTTTGGCGCACTGTCCCCCCGGGCAGATCAAAGCCCCCTCCTCGGTGGCCAGAGGAGACATGTGGAAGGCCTCCCCTCCCCTGGGCAAGGCCTTTTTCCCCCTCCCCCGGCGCCACTCAGGCCTCCTTCTTGCTGCTGTGAGGGAAGAGCCCGGTGTAAGAGCCGCTGTCCCACCCTGCACTCCTGGCACTCTGGGTTGCCTCAGCCGCAGGAGCATGGCAGTGCTGCCCTTGGAGCAAGCGAGTGGGGCTGTAGGTGGCTACTGCGGGGCCGTGCTATGTGTCACATCCCAGAAGGGTGTTGGGTCTCTGGTGCAGGTGGTTGGCACTGTGCAGAAGAGCAAGGTGAGACAGACAGTAGGTTCCAAAGCTGGTTTAAGTGGTACAGAGCTGGCTTGTGGGCATGGGAAGCCACGTGCAGTGTTCTGTTTTGCTGCCATGGTTGTGTTACTTTACAGAAGATTACATTTATGTTTCTAGGGGCAGGCAATGTTCCTCCGTCACAAAAATACTGTCAGAAACTTAGGACGGATGATGATTTTTTTCCTAGTTTTATGCCTAAAGTCACTGTAAACAGTGTGCCTCCAGTGACGTGAAGGAAACACGAGTGCCCTTTCCTTTGTTAGGTTTGGACTGGTTTCTGCCCAGCAAGCCTCGCAGTGGTAATTGGTGTGTAAATTAATTTTCTTATATCACTAGGAGCTGAATAGTGTATCTGCAAAACACATCACTTGCAAGTGAACCTTTGGATCATTAGGTTGTACTCACTGACACAGCCCTGAAACGTGCTATTTAAATAAGGAAGGATGCTGTTGTATTTAATATAAAATAATGTCATTTGATGCTAAATGAAGTGCTTTGAATTCCCATAGATGAAGAAAAGCTGCAATATTTTCCTCTTTTTTATGGGGGAAAAAAAAAGCTGCTTTTACAGTTGTTTTTTGTAAGTGGAAGAATGTTCTGAATGGGTCTACCTTAGTGGATCAGCATTTTCAGCTGTATTATAGGGCAAGGACCAAGTTTCTCTCCTGACTTAACATTTACAACATTTACAACTCTATCATATCAAAGCTGATAAAGGTATGTTGCATTGTTCATTAAACTGGCAAATCCTGTCTGTTTGAAGCTATGTATTACTTTAAAAAGAAACTTTAACAATAAAAAGTATAACAGACATCCTAAATTAGAACATGAACATGATGTCAGATCATCTCCTTAACTATTTTGAAGAGTTCTCTGTGTTTCAATGTCAGACGTGTTTCAACTTTAAAAGAGAAACTGGTTAGAGTATAAGTCACCGGAGTCATGGATGTTGCTGAGTATTTATTTACTGCTTAACTATGACAACTGTTCTGCCTTTCAGAGTGGTTCAAGATTGATGCAGAAATATTTGTTTATTTCCATAGTTAAAGTTAAATCAGGTATATAGAAGTTAATGTCTGGGTATTCAAATACAGGATTACTATCTTTTTACCTGGGTATCTTCTTCCATGGCCGCAGAAGAAATAATTTCCTTTTTGCAGTATGCTATTTAAATTTGAGAAAACAATTGAAAGGATAATGAGGCAGGAAAGCTAGCTCTCCTCTTCCAAGCAATGAAGAGAAACCACTTGGCAGGTAAAACATCCTGCTCTAGAAATCCTGGTGGACTCATTGGTTTGCAAAGATCTATTCAGTTCTCACAGCTATTAAACTGGTCTTAGTCACAATGCAAGTAATCAAATTTCTCAACAAATAATCAATTCTTTATTTCTGACAACTCCATTGGTTAGTACCCTAATAATAAAGAGAATAGCCTAGGCTTCTGAAATTCACTGATGATTATGAATACATATTTACTTAGTATTTGGTTTTCAAAGAATACAGAAATATTTTTCTCTTTTTTTTTTAATCAATATTTTAGAATGTTTTACTTGCTTTATTCCTTGCTAATTTTGCCCTGACTGGGATTTTTTTCATAGATAGACTAGAATATTATGGTTCATTTGGAAGGAACCCATAACAATCATCTAGTCCAACTGCCTGACTATATCAGGGCTGACCAAAAGTTAAAGCCTGTTATTAAGGGCATTGTCCAAATGCCTCTTAAACAACGACAGGCTCGAAGCACCAGCCACCTTTCTAGGAAGCCTGTTCCAGTGATTGATTTCCCTCTGAGTAAAGAAATGTTTCCTGCTATCCAGTCTGAAATGCTCCTCACACAGCTTTGAACTATTCCCATGTTTTCAGTCACAGGATACCGAGGATCACTCCCATAAATACCAAAGATGCTAATTTTTTTATTGCAACTGTACAAACTTGTTCAGAAAGCATTTTCTGCTGTAATCTGTTCCATCAGAAACCTGTTTTTTTCTTTTTATCTACATCTGTTGCTCAGTACTAGCTTTCATATTACGCCCTCTCAAGCATTCCCCTTGCATAGAAGGTTCTCAAAAGCAAACACTTTCAAATACGTTTCTGTGTTCCTAGTGAAAGAAAACAGATCTCAGGATGTTCAAAAAATATACAATGTGTTTTTATTTAATGCAAAGAGATGCAAGGAAAAAAAAAACATGTTGACCTCCCTCCAGTTAAGTTTTCTCAAGAACATTGCAAAATACATGTAAACTCCCTTGGCCTATTCAACCTTTCCAGATGCATTGTTCTCCTGGGTAGCTAGGCAGATGTAAAATCAAGTGGGAGTGCAGATAAGCATGTTGGACACCACCACTATACTGAGATATGTAGGCCTCCATATGGTAAGGTGAATGCCATCATATTTTCCCCATTTTAGAGTTTCCTATGTGGAAAGTTTAGCCCTATCTGTGGTTATAGAACAAAGGAAAAATATTCTCTATATGCATTTTATAAAGTAGCTCTTTTCATAAGTATTTATGGGACGTTATGTCTGGAATACATAAAAAGTTACAATATTGATTTTTCCTTCAGAATTGCTGGGGATTTTCCTCATCTGAGGAAATTACTTGCTCTTACTGAGCAGTGTCTCTTCTGCATGTCTGTATTCTGTGGTTACTTCAATACCACAGTATATCAGATTCCGTTTCTTAAGCTAAAAAGTATAGGAAATTCAGAGGGAAAAAGATTACCAAAGTAACTTGATTAAAGAGTGCTGTAGGGAAGATAGATATGCATGCTCAAAATGGCAATTGGAGAAAATATTGTCTGAAAAACAATAAAAAATAATACATTGATGTTTTCAGTGTCATCTTCATGCTAAAGCAGTTGATCAACCCGCTTATGGGGACTTACAGCTTTTGTTTTTCAGTTATGGGGACCGTGGTGATGATGGTCTCACAAAACTTTGGGATTACACCTTTTCCCCCCCATCTGTGAATTCTCTTCATGTCTGCAGCATTTCCACATCATGGAATGGATCTCCACAGGAAGAAAAGTCTTCAGTAGATGAAAAACCAAACCTGAAATATTTGGAGCAAGGTGACTTTCCATAGCAGTGACCAAATGCTGGGTGACCTTGGCAGCTCTGCTCAAGCTGACCAGAGGGGATCATGGGTATCACCTTTCCTTGCTTAGGACAAATGTATTTCAGAAACAGAGAATTAGTTTCTTTTTAAAGTACTTGCAAGACAACCCCCTGATCCTTGGTCGTGGTGTTCTCTGGGCTCCCTTCTCTAATTACCTAGAAGTGAATTTCTTCTCTCTGGCTGGCCAGATCATTCTGCTTGCCTCATTTCCCCAGGGCAGGCAGGTTTACTTTGTTTTTTTTTCATCTCAAGGCCATTGTGAGGTTCTCTGAGCAGGTAGGTCTAGTGCCTGCCCAGAATCTTTGACTACTTCAGAACAGTGATCCTCATCTTACCTATTCAACTAAAACCACAAAAGCCCAGTAAACTTTCATTAATTTCCTCCTTCAGCTCTTGATCTTTAAGAGCCTAAAAAAGGCCCTAGCATTCAAAGGATGATACCTCCTTTTCTTACAACCCTAACCCTACTAGCTGTGAGGCCTGGGAATGCCTTGTGCACTGAGCCCCTCAGTGGCTGCAGACAACATTTCTCAATAGAAGGTGGCATCTGTGGTGCAGTTCAGCACAAAGGTGAACCAACATCACAGCTTAGCTCCTTTAACAACGTGGAACAATGCCCATAGCTCTGATCAGACCACTTCCAGACAACATCTCAAAATCATTCTCTGTAGTGTTATCTTAATTGGCTATTTAACTCAATTCCCTCTCCTCCGTTCAAGCAATTGAAATCTTGCTGGGAAATAGGGCAGGGTTTGGAATTTGACATACAACTTAGTGTTGGGAATCTTAAGTAAGTAGTGTTGTCTTTCAAGGCTACCAGTTATGTTTGAAGCCTTCCATTGCCTGTCTGATATGAGGCGAAACCCCTTGGATTGCTGACATTCAGGCCATCATCACATGAACAGTTGTCTATAGGTATATGTAACAGTTTGAAGTATGCATGTTTTTAGACAGTGACTGCTACATGACCTGTTGCTAAACTACCTTGCCATCCACACAGAACAGTTAAAATAGATGAAGCTGTGTCAATATTTTCCCATGTTTATCTAGGTTTTATGGAGTGCCCTTGAATGTCTGCCTGGACAGTACTAGCTGTTAGCTCTCTAGGGAGGATGTTTTATCTGATACATGATATTTAATCTATTTCTATCAATTCTTTCTCTCACATCAATATTTAATCAATAGATTTTCAATTAACAGCACAAAACTATGGCTATAGTTTTGTGTTATTGGAACATCCTGATTTATCATCGTTATTCTCTTACATTCTTTCTCCTTTGTTATCCATATAGCTTTACAAGCCCACAGACTCAAGCTTCACAACATCTTTTACAAAAGTGAGGGCTTTTTCACTTCCATTTTGCAGAAAGGAAGATCAAATATGAAGTGGTTTTGACTGGGAGATCATCTGGACTCGGAAGCAAAGCTGTTGTTCAAAACGTAGGCCCTCACTGTGGTGCTTTCCCTGTGTGACTAAGGCCTTCCAAAGACCAGCAAAGCAAGGTTGTAATCCTTTCACATTAAGCTTCCCAAGGCACTTTCACTTTAGTAACCCAACCAAATTTGTCTGGAAACACGGGGCTTGATTTCATTATTCGTAACCAGAATGAAGTCCTGATGTACCTACAGAGCAGTTATGACTCCTTTCTGCAGCTGTTTCAGAGGAGAAAAGGCAGACCCAGCCTGTCTTGGATTTTAGTTTTGACAGAGAATCCTTTGGGATAAAAGCTGAGTTTTGCACTGCAGTACTATCATTTTATGGAGGTAGTGTGTGCACAATAGTCTAATACCTGATATAGGAATTATATACTTGCATCTTGGTTCATATTAAGAAGATGATTGAACAATGGCTTTCATGAAAGACTAATTTTGAAGCGTCTTTTGCCTAAGCAGTTTATAGATTTTGGCTGTGTCTTTTTGATGTGTTGCATGCAAGAAAGGATCTGTTGAATATAGTTCATTTCTTTCACCTGTAGCTGAACACCCACATATATCTTTTGAACAATGTGAACTCAAACCCAGTCAGCCACAAAGAAAGGATATCTGTTCACAATTTAGAATCTCTTCTATTACATATTTCAAGCAATCGCTATTGGATTAAATTATACTACCAACTATCTCAGATTTATGGACAGTTCATGCTGTTATTTAAATGTATTATTAATTTCTTTCCTATAATTGAAATCAATTCATTTCTAATTTTCAGGCAATATGAAGTTCGGATTTGCTTATAGGCTGAGTTATGGAACTGTGTTCTGTGATTCTGAAAGTTCAAACTGATTCTGTTTAAACCAAATGGGTTCATGTAGCTATTTCAGCCTCAAATATTTTGAACTTTGTTAAGTTTGTTTTAGTGAAAAAATAGTGATAGGGATTAAAATTTTCTTAAAAAAGGAAGTTATTTAAGATTAAGTAACTCATTTTAAAATGAAAACTTTGTATCTCTTCTGAACACGATATATCCATCTGTACAGTTATCCCTGACTCACCAGAGCTGAATAGCAATTGAGTAGTGGTAATACCACACAGTGAATCATCAGTGCCACTTCTTGCAACCCATGCTTGTTTTTTCATTATGTCTGTATCTACCTTCTGGGTTTCATGATGTGAAAGGACTGCATACAGATGTATTCAGCAGATGCTGGATTTACGAACATGTAGTGAGATATGCCTAGTTCCTTTCTGGTTTCCTTCTGGAGTTGTATTCTCCATACTACCTCACACAAGATTAGTTTCCATCCATTTTATTTTCCCTAATCCTTTCCAATACATCCAACACAGGGATGACTAACACCTAGGTGAACCTGCAGGTTCCTTCTCATTTTTTTAGTAGTGGGCTTACAGGGAGAAGTGTATTTCTGCCCTACCGTTCTCCCTACCCTCCCTGCTCTTCATCTTCAGACTCTAGAGTTAGTACCACTGCCATAGCTTCAGTTTCGCTACAGCAGTGTAGAGGAACAGTACTTGAAAGCAATGTTAGCACTGAGTAGTGTATCCCTTTCTCAGAGAAACCCAATCTAAATAATCTACCACATTCCAAAGTTTTAAAAACTTTCATCTTACTTCTCAGTTTCAATATAAAATAAACTAGTTGACTGATTAAGTGTAGCTTTATTGTAAGTCTTCTAACAGGTATCTATCTCCTACAACCTGCACACACCAGGGCAGCAAGCACAACCAAAGAGCCTCATTGAAAGGAGATATGTTTGCTTTAGATTCTAAACTTATGACACAATTTTTGTGCTGTATCATTTCAGTTTTGTGCTGTTATCATTTCAGTGAAGAGATTGTTGTTTCTTTTGTTCATGGAGACAAAAGGAAAGAAAGCCAACACATAACAGGTAATACCTGGTTTGCAGTATTGAAATAGATGAAGCATGTTCCACTATCTTGACTGTATCAGTGCACTCAAGCTGGATAAATGAACTGAAGAGGCCTCTGACCCTAAATAATGATGTTTAAAAAGCCTTCTTCAATAATATTTAATATGAGCCAACTTAATTTTCAAGAGGTTGTATCTACTCTGTCTGTATTCAGTCCCATTTATCCCTCCACATCTCCCTGCCGCCTTTCCTTATTAATTCGTTTAAACAGGGTTTCTTTCTGCTCAATTTGCATTCAAATGGCTGTCAGGGGAATTTATGGAAATAATATAAGTGCTTTTATCATTGTGTATTTAATCACATGTGCTAATTTTCAAAAGATGAACTTGTCTAGCATCTTAGCAAAAAAAAAAAAAAGAAGAGTAAGAGTCAAACACCAGCCTTGTCATGGCTACAAAGCCAGTAATGTCCAGACCAGCGTGTCTGAAAAATTCAAAACAAAACCAGAAGGCCCAATTTATGATTTCTTGGCTCAAATGATATATCTTTGTCTGCTGTTTTAGATGACCCATCCCACCCATGCTGTAGCATATATTTTCTGCTTCTTCCTGATTTGGATGAAAAAACTACCCATGTCTAGGCCATATACAATGCATCTTTCTTCTTTGTTTTTAGCAATGAAACACAAATTCACTGAATTTTGGAAATTTGTGTGCTGTTTCTTTTCCTTAATTGGTGTTACAGCAATAGTGGAGCATATCTCTTTATTAGCAGGAACTCCTCAAAATCCATCATGAAACACTGGTGGTTACCTGTGTGAACTGAGTCTCTGAAAGCCAAATCTGCCCCCCTTTTCTTCTCAAAGTGGGAAACAGCAGATTCCCCAACCCCCCTGTATTTGGTAACATTGTCAGCAAACTCACAGCCAAGACAAATAAATGTGATTTTGACCAATCCTGCTAGCAATGGCTTAATCATCTTTAGCATGTAGTTATTAGGCAACATGAGATACTTTTTGGTCTGGTTCATTTCAGACCCAGGTAACTTTACTGATTCATTTTGGCACTTGATGACAAATACTTCTTCCTCTATTTTCTTGAAAATGGCAGAAATTAGTGCAAAAAGAGACTTCCATAAAATATTTAAGTTGTTAATAAAAATAATTGGTGATAGGAGTGTGGTGGTTTTTTTTTTCAGACAAAATAATATATGTTTTCTGATCTACTTTTACAAAGTTTCTAAAAGGAGAAATTTTGCAGTGTAAACATGAAAATGATACATTTCAAGCCTTTCAGCCTAGTGAGTTTTTATATCATTTGTGTTACTCTGCTCTTCTTATTTAAAAGTTATATAGCTATTATATAACACCAAAAAAAGAGCACAGTTCATTATATGAGTGCTAGTTACTGATTTATTTCTGAAACTCCTAAAAGGGAAGAGGGTCGAAGGGGGAGTCACAAAAGTTTTCGAATCTGCAGATCAAGAAAGGTAGTGCTATGTCCAAATATATTTAGTGAATGATAATGCAAACCACAGACAAATATAGAGAAGAGGACAAAATAAATTCCCTGGCTCAAGCTGGGAATTTATTGAATGCTTAGAGCCAGCGAAATAATAATTTAGAGGGGAGTATTTCCCTGGATTCTGCACTACTAATAAATCATTGCTGGTCATGCAATTTTTAGTGGTCCCAACAATGATTACATCTTGCATAAACTGGTCACACTTAGAAACTAGATATTTTTCTTTGTTCTACTTTCTATATTACTAATGCTCTTGGTGCTCTCAGGTGCTGAGGAATAACATTTTCTATACACAAAGCAAGAGGCATGTGTCTTTATGCACACACACCTCTAAACATGCATACATCACCCCTTGGGTCCAAAGCAAATGCTATCTACAATACAAGTTGGTTTTTTTTTTCAGAATTGCCATCAGGAAATATTGGAAGATTTTGTACAATAGGTAGGAATACTAAAATTTAAATTAAATTCTATTTCTGACCATATTTCCCCTGTAGAGAGGACAGCAAGCAACAAAATAAAACCTGCCAGTCTACCTCAGCTGGTATGAAAATGGTTTGCTTTGTGTTCATAAATGACTTCAGATTCTTTGCAGAAAGGCATTTACCAGAAGGGAAGCTATTGCCTGACAGACTTGCAGTATATAGGGTCTTTACCTTAAGCAATTGCAATTCCTTGTGATGTGAATGTGGGTAGGGATAATGCTGTAGCGAACAGGCGTAATAGCCTCTTACAGGTGGGTGCTGGTAAGGCACCAGCTATATGAGCACAAACCCTGCAAAGTGATGGAGAAAGGAATGTTAACAGCTCACTGATTTTTTTATTTCCAAGGGAAGGAGTATATGTGCATCTTCCAAGCCAGTGGGAGACCCTTCACTAATGCAGTTATGAAGGAAGGTTATGAAAATGTGTAATAATGGTTGGGTCAGAAAACCTTTCTTCCAGAAATATCAGAAAGGGAAAATACCCAGTGCCCATCAGGTCAAGAATAAGTTACAAGAGATTAAGTGGTAGAAAGTTTTTAAAAGATCCTTATGAACATCTGTGAAGGACACCACGTACTTTCTGGAAGGCAGAGTTGTTCCTCTATCCCTGCAGAGCTGGTGGAAGGGCAGCCCAGAGACTGCAGATTAAAATCCTGGCACCAAGAGGGAAGACTGTTGCTCAAGGACAGCCTGCTGAGAGGAGCAGCGAACCAGCAGCCAAGCCCCAGCGGTGATGGAGAAAACTTTATGCAGACTGCAGAAGACTCTGCCAGGTGTGCTGCTACTAGGGAAGCCACTGGGTTGACTGGAACAAAGCCTAGAAGCAAGATTTGATCTTCCTTTGAAAATTCACCAAAATAAAATGTCAAGGCAAATCTATTGCAAAGCTGAGGCTGACTTAGGGGTTGTCACAGTGTTGAAGAACTGCTATTGATTAGCAAAGCCAATCACAAATTAAAGGAATTTTTTTGTCTTCTGAGAAAGCTCCCTAAAGTACTTAGACAACTGGGTCAGTGATCTAGAGCGTCTTCTAGGCTGAAGATATGTAACAATAGAAAAAGCAACAGAGCTGTTGCCAATGGAAAACAGAAGATGGGGAAGGCAGAAGTGCAGAAGAACATCTGTAGTTTCCAAACTGAATTGACTAGGTGCAAATCTCTGAAGAGTTGAGGGGGTAAAAAATAGTTATCTTTTAAGTCAGAAATGAGTGTGTATAGAGCAATTTCAATTACTTTGAGTGAAATGTCCATTCTCCAGGATTCTGCAGTACGGATAAAACTGAACTGAAGGTTTCACCATCCCACAATCACCCCATTACCACCTCTCCCCCAGTTACATAGAGCAGCAGTCAGGTCCTATACTCACATTCAGTTTTGTTACAACTGGCAATCTGATGTGGTTAGTTGAAATAAACTGAAGAGAGTTGCTCTGCTAAAGCTCAAAATCTTTTCTTTATAGAAAACCTCAGTTAGACCAACTAATAAAGCCAAGTGGAAGATATATCCTATTTGGGCATCTCAGTGTTAACTATTTCCCTTGACAACACCCGTTTCAGAAATATTGAACTATTTAGTGTCTCTGAAACATCTGGACTTTCTACTTGTTTCATAAGTCTCTAACAAAAAATATCTGCACATCATCCATCAATCCACGGCCACATTCTTTTCTCACCCTATCATGATTAGATTCCTTGGGAGGTTGTAAGAGTTTTTTTCCTAATGCTTTTCTCCCAGTTTTTCTTGGACATCCTCATATTATTAATGGTCTCGATATGTGCTCACTTCAAGCCATTAGAAATTAAGCTAGTGTTTTAAGAAGTTGTTATACAACCTGGAGAAATGGGGATTTTGGGGGAGCTGTCATCTTTTCTTAGCCACAATTGACCCAGTCTGACAAAACTGAGACAGATCTCATTCACTGTTAGAAGAATATCCCCCGCCTATTGAGATGTAGAAAGCAATAGTACAGTGTTTCGTCCAAGACAATTTTTCTGGTAGGAACATGCAGATCAGAGGCACTATAGCTAAGCCTGTCCTGCTATAAGTGAATGGAAACTCCTAAACATCTCCTCTCTAAACAGGTACATAGCTGCTTTCTACAGACCAAGATGCATGCAGAACAGTCGCTCCATGGAAAAAGAGCTCTCTGTCCTCTGTGTGGACCTTGTCTCTAAGAGCTTTTCCTGTAGTTTAAACAGTATCTACTTGCACTATGTCTATCAAGAAACTAAAAAGTAATTATATATCCTACTGTAGAAGTGACATTCTCCTTCCACCTTTAAATCATTAAATGGATGGGTAAATTTGTCCCCTCCACATGGGCTGGTACTGAGGAATGTTTCACACAGAAGGAGAAGGGCAGCCTGCCATAAGGTAGCTTTAAGCAGAGACTGAGCCCCTCTGGCCAGTACGCCTTCTTCCTCAGCTTACACTGCTGGGCACTTTGCCTACCCCCTCCCTTTGCACCAAGTGTCCTTTTTTCACACTGTTTTTCAGCCAGATGAGTTCTCTGACCCATCCCACTATGCAATTGCATGCATGCAACTGGGGCAAGACAGTTGTAAAACTAGCTGTAAAACTGCTGAATGGAGAGCAGGAGGGAAGGTGGGAGCAAAGGAATCCAGCCTGAGACCATCTGGGGCTGCCACGGTGGTTTCTCATATGCTGAGCAACCTCTCAGAGCTGGATGGTTTGCTGCCAGGTAATGTGAGGAGCTGGCTGATAGCAGTCTTGTGTGAGCATCTGTCAGGCTGCCAGTGGATACACAACAATTGCAATCACCACCACTCCTCCCTGCCACAAAGATTAGGGGAGGTAGTCATGGGGAGCTGGACTATGAAACTGAGGAGAGATGATAACAGTGCACAAACATTAGATTGGTGTAAATATTAAGGAGAAAAAGGATGGTTCAAGGATGTTGTAATTAAGAATGATGGGTTGAAGGAAAAACATCTTTTTGTATGTGTGACTGTTTTTATATGACCTCTGTCTGGAATTCAGCAAATTAGACTAAGGAGGAATACGGTCTCAGACGATATTACAGAGTGAGACCTTGCTCCTGAAAATAAATCAGTGTGTCAGACTTCAGCTCATTGATTTTATTTGTCTGAATCTCAGGCTAATTAAGAAAAAAAAAAACAGTCTGAAGAGCAGAGCCTGCTTTCTGATCAGCTTGTGAAATAGTCTTGTAGAGACAAATTGAGAGATGTTTTGTATATCTAAAATTCCTAGAAATCCTGCTGTGATTATCAGATTATTCATCTATTTTCAGTAATAATCTTGATAATAGAAGTGGTCTGAAAAACTGAGCATGTCTGACAAAAGGAGTGAAGAATGTATATTTCCCCTTATGACAAGGAAAAAAAATCAGACAGTATATGGGGAAAATAGATTTTTATCAAACAATTAATAAAAGGCACCCTCTGAAAGCCCAGACTGCAGGAAGAAAAGCTAGCACCTCTCCTTGTCCCCAGGCTGGCAGGTAAGAACCTGCCCTTTCAGTGTGACATAAGTAATAAAGGGGATGGCATGGCAGACCAGGGAGTACAGAGGTGCCCTAGGTGCTGCTGACAAGCCCCAGTCAGCCATCCAACAGCTTTTAACCCATTGTGTATTATTCTGTTAGCACTCACCACTACAAAGCCTAGCTTAGTTTTTTAACCAGACATTTGCTTTGGCACCAGGTGCTTGGGGTGACGGGCTGCATGTGAATTCCAAGTGTTTGTTGCTTTCCACACACAGCAGCTCTAGGAGATGTGCAAAAAGGACATAGGGTTTGAGATATCCTGCAAAGATGCAGACTGGGGATATGCTGTGGGAAAAAGAGCAAAAGGGAACAGTGAGAAGAAAAGGAAAGAGACTGAAGAAGAAAGATGGGAGGGCACTAAGAGCAGGGGAACATATCAGCAAGGAAACAGGAGACAGTGTTATAACAGAAACACATTTCAAGTATACAAGCTACTCTCTGCATTTCTATCGTATTTTATCACATCCATGCTTTCTGTGCCGTGCTGCTGCTCCTATGCATCTTTGCCCAGCAAATCCTGCTAAACAGCTGGCTGAGTTTGTGCCATACTTGTAATACACCAAGGCAGTTGCAGCTGCCCTTCCAGGCTATGCTGGAAACTTGGGAAAAGGGGAGAGAAAAGAAATGAAACAATGGAAGCTGGGATGGACAAAACATGAGTATCGATGGGGGAACAAGGGAAGGTATGGGAGAAAGAATAACATCTCACAACACCTTTAAAATACAGAATAGTAATTAGAACAGATATAAAAGTAGGGCTCAAACTTAGGCAACTACCTTAAATTAATAAACTCTAGAGGTTGCTTTAGTGTTTATTTAAAGACTGGTATAAACGACCATGATTTTCACTGCCTTCTGAAACCTGGTAACTACAGGCTTTGGCAGGTTACCAGAAGAACCAGTCTCATCAGTGGAGATCCCAGAACTGCCTTGCTTTTGCTCCTGAAGATAAAACACCATGAATCATGAAAAAAAGTGAATACAATAGATTGTGGAAACTGTGCAGTGAGATAAAGGGAAAGAGGCCTTCCATTAGGGAGATAACTCTAGGATTGCTCAGGGACTTGGCAAAGAATAATTAATACCTTTTATCACTTTACGAAACTACTGTACTTTAGCAATGGGCATCTCCCTGCCTTAGTTTAAGGATTCCTCATCCAAGGTTTCTAAGTGAAACCAGGGAAATGATCCTGCTACCATCTTCCCTCAGGTACAGCTGCAGCTTACATGCTTTTGCAGTAATGAAAAGAGCCTCATTATAAAACAGTTCAACCTAATGCATGCTGAAGGCCAGCCTCTGACATGACACTGCCTCCTACTTTGGGGAAGGTACTTCTGAAAAGTCGTGAACTCTTTTTTCCACTGGATAAGACGGCAAGTGACTTCTCACAGAGTGTTTGAGAACCCACAGCAGTTGCAGCAGTTCGTCTTAGTAGCCACTGAAGTAAAAGCAGGGTCATCCCTGGCTCCTCCACCTAATTCGATGTGGATCAGAACATTTCTGACATATTAGTCATGCCACACAATATGAAATTCATGCTGGCTTTACACTAGCTGCAGAAGGGACTATACCTCATGGGGCTCAAAGCCTGTGGTTACAGCATTGACACAGTAACACTCTTCAGACAAACTGGACCCAGCAGTGTGAGTTTCTACTGCATCACAGCTTTGCACAGTGTGAGATTTCTGGTCCAGTATGAGAAGCATTGCATTGCAGCTGGCTCCAGCTGGACCACTGTCTGACCTATCAGTAAATTTCATCTAATGCTAAAGAGATACACTAGCATGGTAAATATATATATATATGAAATATATACAGGGAGAGAGAGGGGAGGAGAAAGAGGTTAATGAGGTAAGGATTTTAAAATTAGACAAGATATGATTCACTGACAGATGGCCTCAGTAAAGTGGCCAGCCTAATTAAGCGTGCTATTCTGTATCATCAATAATCCATTAGAAGAGTGGCAGTAGTTTATATGCAGCAGCAATTTGTTAAAAAAGCTCCGTGTATTTCATAGACATGGAATTTACAGTTTTGTTCAGAGGGGAAAACAAACAAACAATCCTTTTAGTTTTGAAGAATAACTTAAAATATACATGGTGTAATCCATTGCACTATCATGTGCTCAACTCAAATGAGAATCTGAAATAGTGCCTCTTACTTGCATGAACCGATCCAATTAATCATAATCCTGATCCCACAGGCTCAGGGCCCCTACACTCAGCAAGGCAATGGCTACATAATCTGGCATTTTGTCAGGGTGCCACCAAATTCAGCATTCCCTCGTGGAATTCCCTATTTTGCTGGAGGCAGTTGCTCAACCTTTTGTTTTGTGTCTTCCGACTTGCCTCTTCCCTCCTCTCCTTTCCCCATGGGGAGGAGGTAATTGGATTACAACGCATGCTCCCTCTGCTTCTCCATGGAGCCAGACAGCAGGGGGTTGGAAAGCAACCATCCGAGTCCAGCCTTCAGCCAGAGAGTGGAGAGCTGAGCATATTGGATGACACACTGGGCCTTGCAGGGAGCAGAGCAGCCGTGGGGAGCTGGGCTAGGGCTCCTGAAACTGGCTGCAAGAGCCTTGCTTCCCTGGCACAGAGAATGGAGGTTTAAGTTAGTTTTCCAAGACATCATCATGTGATCTGAGACCTGTTCTATAGACTAGGGCTTTTTGAAAGCAGGACAGGAAAAAATCCCACCCTTGGGAGTAAGGGGGGCAGGAAGATGGTTCTGTAAATAATTGAGTGTCGTCAAACCTAAAACAAGCACTGGCCATCTTCTTCTTCATTCTCCTAAATCTTGACACCAAATACTATATTTTATGACAAATACGTTGTACTTCTTTATTTTTTTAATGCCTACAGAGATATCCGTGTGTGTGGCAACCTGCTAATTGTCTCAGAGCTCTCCCATTGTATACGGAGCCAAGTGATATTTTGGCTTCCGTTGCAAAAAACTTCAGGACTGCCTGGTAATGCATAGCCTCCAGTTCTGCCATTGCCCCTTCCCCTCCAAGTTTTTACTCCTTCCTCTGACAGGCTGACACTTGCACATCCTCCATCTTAGCAATTACACAAATGGGCCACAGCAACTATTCCCCCCTCCACCTCAGCACCTCCGGTGTGACTGCCACACTCCTGCAAGTTGGATCTCCCACTAGGACTGTCAGTCCCCTGCTTGGGAGACATGAGATGTTGCATTAGTGTCACCTTCTGCCCTGCTGAAAGGGAGTCAAATGTGCTAAAAGCTTTCCCACAGCCACTGGTTCCCTTCCAGCTTTCGTTCTCTGTTGCCTTCTCTCACACAGGGAACCTGAGAAGACATCACATGGGGTTTCCTCATCTTCAGCTCTTATCTGAGAACCTGCTGTCTGGGACAGTCCATACAATGCTGTGTCTTAGCTCTAACAAGCATCCTTAGCTATGGCTTCATCATCCTTCCTGGTCTTGTAATGTTAGCTTTCATTTTTATATTAGGGAAAACCACATAGCTTTGGAAATCTTGAAAACAGCTAACACGTTTAAAACCATTCAGGTGAAATCAGCATTAGTGTGAGATGGAACACAAGGAGAAAGAATACTTTGGGGTCATGAAAAAATGTCTAGAGATTGATAAAATGGAATTTAGTCCTACTTTGCCAAGGAAAGGCTTTTTCTTGTGGAATTTTTCAATGAAGCAATTCTGAGAAAGAAATTGTTATTGACTTCTACATTATCTTAGCTTTGTGAA